GTCGCGAAAGAACACGCGCGCGCCGCGATGCGATCGGGCACCGAGTAACCCTTTCACGGCATACCGGGAGATGCTCGCCGCGCTCCCGCCAGGCTGGACGCACTGCCGCAGCAAGGTCGACGGCGGGGACTTCTATCACAACCCGAGTACCGGCCAGTCGGTCTGGAAGCACCCGGGCGGTTGGCGCGGGAAGCGCTCGGGCGCCGCCGCCGCGCCGGAAGACGACTGCGTCATCACGGGCTCGCGGTCCGCGGAGGCCCGCGACGCGGAGCTGATGCGCGACGCGATCACCATCGAGGACTCGGACGAGGAGGAGGGCGCCCAGCCGACGGGCGCGGGCACGCTCGAGGACCACCTCAAGGAGCTCCGCGGCTTTCTCGATGACGACGGCTTCGACGTGTCCGTCGCTTTGAAGTGGTGCGAGGAGAACGGCGCGGACAAGCTCTACGAGATCGTCGAGGCGGACATGGTCGACGACTTCGTCGCGAGCTTCGCGCTCAAGCCCGTCAAGGCCGGGGTCCTGGCGAAAAAGCTCCGCGAGTTCCGCCGCGGAAACTAGCCGCCCCGCTAGGAGTCGAGAGAGCTCTAGATTAATACAGGCCATGTGCGCGAGATTCTTAGGTCCGCACTCCAGGTCGCGAGCGCCGCGGCATCCTCGACGGCTGTGGCGGCGCGCGGCGTATGTGCAAATTTTGGGCGGACGCGCGGGCGACGGGTCGGGAGTGGATCTTTCCCCGGCGGTGTAGCCGACGGGGGCACTAGACGGCCTTCTGCTGCTTGAGGCCCGCGCGCCAGCCGTCCTTGTTGATGAGCCAGAAGGGGAAGACGAGAAACCAGGCGCCGACGATGGAGCCGAGGGTCACGGGCAAGAAGTTGTACCAGAACGCGTTTCCCCAGTTGCAGCGGTCGTCGTAGTACTTGCCGCCGACCATGATGCCCGCGGGGATGAGGAATTCGTTGACGACGAGGTGGTCGAAGCCCGAGGAGATAAACAGCTCGATGGGCAGCCAAATCATGATGAATTTGGAGATGGGCTCCGTCGCGATCATCTGGAGCCAGATCGCGAGGCAGACCATCCAGTTGCAGCCCGCGCCGCGGATGATGGACGTCGTGAAGTGGGCCGTGCACTTGGCGCGGCAGACCTTGACGACCTTGCAGAGGTTGGCCATGCCGTAGTTGGAGCGGCTGCAGAGGTCGCCGTTCATGTCGTCGCGGAAGTCCTGGTTCGACTTGTACCACAGCACCTGGTCGTGCTCGAGCGAGTCGGTCGGGTCGCTGTAGAGGTCGCCGCCGATGCGCACGCTCTTTATGAGGCCCGTGGACCAGGCGAACATCACGAAGTGCAGGACCGCGCCGAGCAGGTTCGACCACCAACACACGGTCCAGTTGAGAAT